TACCTCTCCTCAGCAAGCCGGGGCTTGTAGGAGTGATGGCGCCAGATGGAGTATAAGTTGAAGTAGATAAAGCAGGAAGGTGAACTGCAATGACAGTGACAGCAATGTCTCCGGGAATTAGCAGCAGTGGCAGTGGCAGTGGCAATGGCAGAGGCTCTGGTGGCGAAGCGGGAGTGCAAGTGGAAGCATTGAACTGCAAGTGGAAGCAGAAGTGGAGGTGGATCGTAAAACAGAGGCGGAGGCTGAGGCAGATGGGCAGGCGCGATCGCGGGACGATGAGACAGCGCAGCGAAAGAGACATGGTGCTGCAGCGCAAGCAGCTGCAGCCCCAGGGCGTCGCCCCCAAGCGGAAGAGGCCGGTCGTTGGGTCGGCGCGCTGCCGCTGCCAGCCCGACGCCCAGCTGGTAGGCCAGTGTCCAGCCAGAGGAGGAGGAGGAGGAGGAGGAGGAGGAGGAGGAGGAGGAGGAGGAGGAGGAGGAGGAGGAGGAGAGGGGCGCGCGCCCCAGTGGCCGGAGTCCTCGGCGTAGACCCGCCTTGAAGTGGTCATCCGCGGCGTGGCCCCCGCGGTGCTGCGCGGGCCCTCCCGAGGCTGTCCCAGAAAGGTTCCACGGCGGACCGTGTGCCCTGGTATGGTGAATGCCACTCCGCTCCTGCGGTCCCTCGCTCCCGCGAGTGGCACCCGTTCTCTCCCTCTCTCTCTCTCTCTCTTTCTCTACTTATGTCGATGCATCTCTATCTCTCTTTCTCTCTCTCTCTCTCTCTCTTTCTTTCTCTCTCTCTCTCTCTCTCTCTCTCTTTATCCCTCTCTCTCGGTATATATAAGAGAGAGAAAGAGAGAGAAAGAGAGACCGCGATCCACCGCCGCGCTACTGTGAATATTCCCCCCCCCGCATAATCGGAAATCGGAAAACAAAAATTGGAAAAGCAATGTTTTCGGCCTTCTCGCTGTTTCGCTTCTGGATGACTCGAAAGGCGTCAAGATGACCCCAGGATTGCCGCAGAGGCGCAAGCCGAGGCCCACAGAGGCCCAAGGCTGGCCGAAGAGGGCCCGAAGAATTGAAAATCAAATGAAAAAACATTTTTTATATATATATATATATATATATATATATTATATATATATATATGTACATGACAACCCATGTTTTTGGCCTTCTCGACTTGTCGCTTCAGATTGGCTCTTGACATCTCTCGAGGCATCAAGATAAGCCCTTGACGGCTCCAAATGAGTCCCCAGAGAAGCCCGAAGGAGGGCACAGACTGGCCCTAGAGGGCCCGGAGGTTCGAAAATCAATGAAAAACACACGGGAAAAACAATGTGTTCGCCCTTCTCGCCTTTTCGCTTCTGGTCGGCTCGGGAGGCGTCAAGATAGCCCCAGGACGGCTCCAGAGAGGCGCACGCCGAGGCCCACCCACAGAGGTCAAAGGCTGACCGAAAAAGGCCCAAACAATTGAAAATCCATGAAAACCCTTTGGAAAATCAATGTGTTTGACCTTCTCTCCTTTCGCTTATCATCCGCTCTTGAGGCGTCAAGATTGCCCCGGGACGGCTCCAAACGATCCCCCAGACGAGCCCCAAAGAGGCCCAAGGCTGGGCCCAAAGAATTGAAATCAACGAAAACCATTTGAACGAGAAAAAAAACCTTTTTGGCCTTCTCGCCCTGTCGCTTCGATCAGCTCTTGAGACGTCGAGATGGCTCCAGGAGGGCTCCAAATGAGTCCCCAGACGAGCCCCAAAGAGACCCAAGGCTGGCGCAACAGGGCCCAGAGTGTCGAAAATCAGAGAAAACCCCGATGAGAAAAGCACTATTTTCGGCCTTCTCGCTTTTTCGCTTCTGGTTGGCTCGGGAGGCGTCAAGATAACCCAGGATGGCCGCAGCGAGGCGCAAGGCAGGCCCAGGGATTCGAAATTCGTTTGGGGGGGGACGGGCGCGCGGGGGGAGGGGGGGGGCCGGCCCTGTAAAAATAAATGAATAGGAATATGTGTATCCCACTCTCCCTTTCGTGTATATACATATATAAATGGATTATGTTTTGTTGTTTTTCTATATATATATATATATGTATATATACACCTATATATATATATATATATATATGGTCGCCCCCCAATGATCATACATGTTCGTCTCTCGCGCGGCCGCCGATCGATACTCCTGTCCCGCCCTGCCTCTCCTCCTCTTCCTCCTCCTCCTCCTCCGCCTCCTCCTCATCGGAATCTTTGAAATCGCCATAACCAAAGAAAACCTGCAAGAACATTCAAAACAAAAAGAAAAAACAAATGATTTCGGGAGAACTTCTGGGGAGGGGCCCGGCCAAGGTTCTCCCGAAATCATGGGTTGTTTTTATTGTTTGGGTTTTCTGGGTTTTCTGAAGGGTTTTCGCTGGCGTTCGGCCTCCACAGAAGGAGTCCTGTTGCAATCCTCTGAGAAAGGAGATTCCCATTGAGATCCTCTACAGCTCCTCACCCTCCTGCGGGTCCTCCTCACCCTCCTCATCCCGCTCGCTTCGAGGCGTTATCCACACATCTAGTTGTGAACGCAGCTGCACAACTAGTTTTGAGAGCAACCTCCCGCTGCGAGACACTACTCGCAAAACTAGTTGTGAACACCGCTCCACAACTAGTTTGGTGAGTAATGAGTTCCTCCACGCTTTCGTCATGCTCCTCACTCTCCTCTTCTTCCTCCTCCTGCTCCTCCTGCTCCTCTCCCCTCCTGCTCCTCCTTCGCTTCTGCATGCTGCCCCCTCCTCTCCGCTTCGAGGCGATACTCACAAATATACTTGTGAACTCAGCTACAACATTAGTTTTGCGAGCAACCTCCCGCTACAAGACACTACTCGCAAAACTATGTGTGAACGCCGCTCTACAACTAGTTTTGTGAGTAATGAGTTCCCTCTCGTCATCGTAATGCTCCTCACCCTCCTCCTCTTCCTCCTTCTGTTCCTCCTGCTCCTCCTGCTCTTCGTCATTATGCCCCCTCCTCTCCGCTTCGAGGCGTTACACATCTAAGTGTGAACGCAGCTGCACAACTAGTTTTGTGGGTAATGGGTTTCTCCCCACCTTCGTCGTGATCCTCGCCCTCATCTTCCTCTTCTTCCTGCTCCTCCTGCTCCTTCTGCTCCTCATGCTCCTCCTGCTCCTTTTCAGTCTGCCCCCTCCTCTCCGCTTCGAGGCGTTAGTCGCAAATCTAGTTGTGGAAATAACTCCACAACTAGCTTTGGGAGCAACCTCCCACTTCGAGATATTACTCACAAAACAAGTGTGAACGCCGCTCCACAACTAGATCTGTGAATAATGGTTTCTCTCCCCGCCTTCGTCATGCTCCTCACCCTCCTCATCTTCCTCTTCTTCCTGTTCCTCCTGCTACTCCTGCTCCTCCTGCTCCTCCTGTTCCTCCTGCTCCTCCTGCTCCTCTTCATTATGGCCCCTACTCTCCTCTTCCTCTTCGTCCTGCTCCTCCTGCTCCTCCTGCTCTTCTTCATTCTGCCCCCTCCTCTCCGCTTCGAGGCGTTACTCACAAATCTAGTTGTGAAATCAGCTGCACACCTAGTTTTGCGAGCAATCTCCCGCTTCGAGACACTACTCGCAAAACTTTGTGAATGCCGCTCCACAACTAGTTCTGTGCGAAACGCGTTCCGCCTCACAATTGTCATTCTCCTCACCCTCCTGTTCTTCCTCCTTTACCTCCTCTTTCTCCTCACCCACCTCCTCCTCCATCTTCTCTTCCTCCAGTTCAACCTGTCCGCTCCTCTCCGCCTCCAGGCGTTACTCACACATGTAGTTGCGAACGCAGCTCCGCAAGTGGTTTTGTGAGCCATTTGTTGACCATTGCCTTCGTGATGCTCCTCATCCTCCTCGTCTTCCTCCTCCTCCTGGTTCTCCTCCTCCATTTCCCCCTGAAATTCCTTCTCCTCGCCATTAATCCTGCCCCCTTCTCAAAGAGTCCTAGTGGACCCCTTAACAAAAAGCATAATGAGGCGGCTGAGACGGAGGTGGAAGATGAGGCGAACGAGGAGAAGGTTCTTACTAAAAACCGCCACAGAAGGATTCTTAGTGAAATCCTCCACAGCAGGGTTCATAGTAAAACCCTTCACAAGAAGGAGAAGTAGGCGGATAAGGAGGATGGTAAGGAAACATGAGGCGGATGAGGAGGAGGAAGGAGGAAATCCTCCACAGAAAGATTCCTATTGAAATCCTCAACATAAGGATTCCTATTGAAATCATCAGCAGAAGGATTCGCGTTGAAACGCAGATGGGAAGGCAGAGAAGGAGGAGTATGAGGCGGATGAAGAGGAAGAGGAGGAGGAGGAGGACGAGGATGGGGGGAAGGATGATTAAGATGAGGAGATGGAAGACCACATGTATGATCATAGGGGCGAGCATATGTATATATATATATATATATGTGCGTGTCGCTCTCTCTCTCTCTCTATCTCTCGCTCTCGCTCTCGCTCTACCTTTCTCTCTCTCGTTCTCCCGCAGCGCCTCCGCCCACCAGGTCTCCTGAGGGCCACAGGTGATTGGAGAAGGGGAAGCAGATCAACATCGCCAAACCTGGCCGGAAACGCGTCTCCGCTGCTCCTGTCGTCTGGCCGGGGAACCGAGCATCCCTACGAAAACCGCCGATCGACTGTCGATGCTTGGACTGGTGGCCCAACAGTGCTGCCAAGAGACGCGAGGGGGTGCCGGGGTGCAACACCTAAGAGAGACAAGGCACAACCCCGCGTCGAAGAAAATACCCCGAAATGCGTTTCCAATGCCCTAGCTGCCAGGCCATGGATCCAAGCAGTGCACGGAATCGACCGTCAAGGCGTCAGCTAGACTCGAGGGGTGCTAGGGTGCAAAACCTGAGAAGCGGAAAGATCTAATACGCCTCTCTGCGATCTGCACACGAAAGCAGCCCCATACAAAAAAAAAGAGAGAGACCGCGCGCGCAATCACACGCGCAGGATGAGCCTGCCTGCGACTCGCTAAGTTGCTCTCCAAGCTCAGCGCCACGTCAAGGCCAAGTGGCGCAAAAAAGAGGCGTCAGCAGTGCAGCGACCTGGGCGTACCGCCGTCGCTGGTGGGGTTCGGAGGCGCCACGTTCCGAGCCCAGCTGGAACGCACCATACACTGTCAACCCCCTCTTCTCGGCGGCGAGCGAGAGGGAAGTGAGAAGGAGGAGGAGGAGGAGGAGGAGGAGGAGGAGAAGGAGGAGGAGGAGGAGGAGGAGGAGGAGGAGGAGGCCCGCCCCCTCTCGCACGCCTGGTGCTTCTTCGGCCCCAGCTCGGCTCTCCGGCGGCCGCCGGAGACGATCCGGGCACCCCCCGGAACGCCCCCTCGGCGAGGCGCCGCTGCTGGAAAGCACCCCGCGGCTGGAGAAACCGCCGAGCACCGGCGGCGGCGCCCGAAAGCCTCGAACCTCGAGCCCGAGACTCCCGACGGGTTCCCCCCCAGGCGCGCAGCCGAAAGCAAACCGCCGAGGTCCGACGACGACGCCCGAAAGCCTCGAACCTCGAGCCCGAAACTCCCGAGAGTTCCTACCCCCCCGGGGGAGCGCGCAGCCGCAGGCAGGTCGAAGGCCCAGGGACTTCCGAGCCTTCTGCGAGAAGGCCTTCAGTGGAGGAGGAGAGCAGGGACGGGGAGGAGGAGGGGGAGGAGGCGGAGGCGGAGGAGGCGGAGGAGGAGGAGAGGAGGAGGAGGAGAAGAGGAGGCCGAGGAGGAGGAGGAGGAGGAGGAGGAGGAGGAGGAGGAGGGAGAAGGAGGAGGGAGGAGGGACGGGGAGGAGGAGGAGGAGGAGGAGGAGGAGGAGGAGGAGGGCGAGGAGGAGGAGGAGGAGGAGGAGGAGGCTGAGGAGGAGGAGGAGGAGGAGGAGGAGGCAGAGGAGGAGGCGGCTCGCCTTCCCACCCACCCCTGGGCTCGCCGCCGGTCCTTCGTCGCGAGCGCGGGGTTCGCACCCCAGGCCAGGAGCAGGCGCGCGACCTCGGCGTGGCCCCCCATCGCGGCCATGATGAGCGGCGTGGCCCCGCAGGCGCTGCGGGTGTCGACGCCCGCCCCGCGCCGCAGCGCCAGCGCGACCTCGCACGGGTGGCCGCTGTACGCCGCGTAGAGCAGCCACTCTCCCCAGTCTCCGCGTAGGTGCATGATCCTGCGCGCCGCAGCTGTGAATCGTCACAAGCGCGTGCATAGATGTGCGCATGCATGCGCACCTGCGTACAACCATGAGTATGCGCATGCATGCGTGGATTGGTGTGTATATGTGTGTGTGTTTGTGTACGAAGGTGTACGTATGTATGGCTTAAATGAACGAATGTATGCATGCATGCATGCTTGTTTGTAGGCATGGGTGTACGTATGTATGTATGTTTATATGCATGTAGGTATGTATGTATGCATGTATGTATGCATGCATGTCTGTATGTATGTGTATATGTACGTGAATGTGTGTATGTATGTATGTATGTATGGATGGATGGATGGATGGATGGATGGATGGATGGATGGATGGATGGATGTGTATGTATGTAGGTGCATGCGTATGTCTGCACGTCTACACATACATATGTATATGTATAAAAATGTATGTATGTGTGCATGGATGGATGTATGTGTATGTATGGATGGATGGATGGATGTATGCAAGTATGTTGGCATGTATGTATGTATGTATGCATGTATGCGTGTGTGTGTGCATGTATGTATGTATGTATATATGCATGTATGGGTGTACATGGTTGTGTGTTTGTACGTATGTATATATGTATGAGTATGGTTGTATGTCTGTATGCATGTATGTATGGATGCGTGTATGTCTGTATGTATGCGTGTATCATTGTATGTATGTATGTGTGTATGAATGTATGGATGGGTGTGTGCATGTATGTACGTATGTATGTGTGTACTGATGTATGTGTATGCATGTGTGTATGTATGCATGCATGCATGTGTGGATGCATGCATGTATGTGTGTACGTATGTGTGAATGCATATGTATGTATGTATGTTTATGTGTATATATCTATGTATGTATGTATGTAAGTATGTATGTATGTATGTATGTGTGTATGTATGCGAGGATGTGTGTGCATTCACGTATGTATGCATGTATGTATGTGTGAAAGTATATGTGTGTTTGTATGTATATATGTACTCATGTGTGTATATATATGTATGTATGTCGGAAGTTAGGGGGTGAGTCCGACGTGAAACAGAGACTCCCCCTACCGGGAAATCGATTTCGGTTTCGGGTTCGTGTCGTCCCGTGCTGTGCGTGCGTGCGGGCGAGGCGAAGCTGCGTGGGCGGGCGAGAGGAAATCCTCCTGTGGCTGGGCCGCGGCTGGACCAAATGTAACTCCTCCGGCGGCAGGTGCCCCGCGGTGTCCCGCCAGTGTCCCGCCAGTGTCCCGAAATCCTCCTGTGGCTGGGCCGCGGCCGGACCAAATGTAACTCCTCCGGCGGCCGGTGCCCCGCGGTGTCCCGCCAGTGTCCCGCCAGTGTCCCGAAATCCTCCTGTGGCTGGGCCGCGGCCGGACCAAATGTTTCTCCTCCGGCGGCGGTGTCCCGCCGGTGTCACGCTGGTGTCCCGAAATCCTCCTGTGGCTGGGCCGCGGCCGGACCAAATGATGCTCCTCCCGTCAAACGGTGGCCCGCGGTGTCCCGCTGGTGTCCCGCCAGTGTCCCGCCGTGGGTTGTGCATTTCAAAACATCGCCGCTTGCAGCGGATACCCAATGCAAGTCTGCATGCAAACTGACATGCAGACCGAAAAGCACATCAAAATGCAAATCGGCAGACCAACAATCACCACTTTTGCCCATTGCTGCCCCCCCTAACCTCATTATCACCCGCAGGGCGGTCGTATAGGTATGTATGTATGTATGTATGTATGTATGTATGTGTATGAATGTACGTACGTACGTATGTAAGGTTGTATGTATGTATGTGTGTGTATGTATGTATGTACGTGCGTACGTATGTGTGTATGTGTGTGAGCATGTATGTATGCATGCATACATGCATGTATGTGTGTATGTATGTATGAATGCATGCATGTATGCATGCATGCATGTATGTATATATGTATGTATGTGTGTATGTGTGTATGTGTGTATGTGTGTATGCGTGTGTATGTATTGATGTATGTATGTATGTATGTATGTATATATATGTATGTATGTTTGCATATATGTATGTATGTATACCTGGATGTATGCATGTACCTATGTATGTTTGTATGTGTGTATGTGTGTATGTATGTATGTATGTATACATGTATGTATGTGTGTATGTGTGTATGTTTGTATGAATGTATGTGTGTGCATGTGTGTATGTGTGTATGTGTGTATGTATGTATGTATGTATGTATGTATGTATGTATGTGTGTATGGATGGATGTATGTATATATATATAGATGTATGTATGTATGATTGTATGTATGTATGTATGTATGTATGTATGTATGTATGTATGTATGTATGTATGTGTGTATGTGTATGGAATGCTGTATGTACGTATGTATGCATGAATGCATGCATGCCCGTGTGTAGGTGTGTATGTGTGTACGTATGGTTGTATGTATGTATATATATATATGTATGTATGCGTGTATGTATGTATGCATGTGTGTATGTATGCATGTGTGTATGTCAAACACTGTGTGTGTATTACGTGTGTATGTATGTATGTATGCATGTATATGTGTATGTATGTATGTGTGTATGTACGTATGTAGGCAGGCAGGCAGGCAGGTAGGTAGGTAGGTGTGTACGTTTGCATGTATGATTGTGTGCATGTGTGCGTGCATGTGTGTATGCAAGTGTGTGAATGTGTGCATGGGTGCATGTGTGTATGCGTGTACGCATGTGTGTAACTGCACACACACACACACGCGCACGCACGCACGCAAATGCAAACATACACAGACACCCGCGGACGGCTTTTCTCCTGAGCGTTCAGGCAGGGTGGCGGCGCACCAAACTGCCGGCTCTCGGCCGTGATCTCTGCACGCCGCCTTCCCTCGGCCGAGGCCCAGGAACAAAATTCGGGGATGGACAGACCCCCCTTTAGTAAAACAAAGTTTAGTCAAAACGACCTGAGGCCCAAACTTGGCGGGCGCAAGCCTGGAAAATGACGGCCACGGCGCCCTCTCGAGAACCGAAAACGGACAATTCACTAATCGACGTGTCACTGTTGGGGGTTCTGTCCAGCCCCGAATGGGGGAAGAGCGAACGACGCACCGCTGCGCGGACCATCGTCCGGGACCGGCTGGCACCAGCTGGGGGACGCCGTGGACCCTCGGGGAGCACAAACGTGTATCTGGGGGGGTCTGTCTCCTCCTCCTCCTCCTCCTCCTCCTCCTCCTCCTCCTCCTCCTCCTCCTCCACCTTCTGCGGCAGATCCTGTGCACCACGCGCAGCTGGCCCAGGCGGGCCGCGATCGGCAGGGCCCGGGCCTGCAGGAGCTGAGCCGCGGCGTCCGCCCAGCGGCCCTGGCGAAGGGCCGCCAGCCTTCCGGGCCAGGCCAGCTGACACCGCTCGCCCATCACGGCCAGTCCGACCCCTTGGCCCAGGATCGGTGCACTATAGGACAGGACTCCAGAGGCCAACGGCCACCAAAGAACTACGAAGCCCGATTCGGGGGAAAGTAAGCCAGACTCGAACGGATTGGGCCCCAGATTACAGGGCAGGTTGAATACATAGGATTTGCTATACATTACATTTTGAATACATGATTAATTTACCAATAAATCAATGCATAAATTCATCATTGTTTTGAATACTAAATCTCTTTATTTTGATATATGATCCGCACGCGGAGCATGTATTAAGAACTGCCCTGTAAGCAGGATTAGACTGGATTAGGGGGGCTACGCCAGATTCAGCGGGACCAGGCCGGATTCGCCCAGTTTTCGACCATGGATACACCAGCGCCGGTGCTGAGCTGGACCTCCCAGGAGTTGCACCCCTGAGGTATGCACGCCTCCCTGGCCAGGCCGGGAGGGCCCTGGCCGGAGCGGCCTGGCCGTGATCGGCGAGCGTGGCCGGTTGACATCGCCCGGGCATCGGGAAGTCTGCCGCGAGGAGCTCCAGGTACGCACTGAAAGCGGACAGCCTCGACATCTCCACGGCCGTGCCGTAGACACGCTTGAACACATCGCTCAGGCCGCTCGCGCGGTCCCGACCAAAATGGGAGGGCGGGTCGGAGTGGGCGTGCGGATCTATCAGCCTCGCCTGCAGCCATTCCATCTCTCCCGCTGTGAGCCCCCTCAGATTTCCCACGCGGTCGCGAACGTTTATGAAGCGGTCCCGGACGTCATCGAAAATCGTCGGCACGGTGGGATCATGCTGGTCCTCGTCCATTGTCACGACCCTATGACTGCGGGAAGCTGCTTCCCGCACGGCGTACTGGAGAAGCACGACTGCCAGAAGTCCAAAGACCGCGCGAGAATCCATTAGCTCCAGATCTTGAGTGGAAACGAGGCCCTTCCCATGCAGATGCAGCGCGACAAGCTCGAGCTTATCGTAGAACCGCTGCTCGTCGCTCATGGAGGCGCGGGAACTGCAAGCACACCCGAAAAATGGACGAGCCATTCAAGATATCGTCTGAGCCAAAATCGCTGGAGCGGGTCCTCAGCTAGAGCCTACGAGATTCATGCATGCCCGAGCTTCCTCAAAGGGGGCGCACGCCTGAACCCAAGCACGCTGGTTAACGCCGAGAACGATGAGACCTTCCTGTTGGGCTGGTCCGGGGGTATGCTTGTTGCGCCGTCTGTAGGGGCGAACGCATGCGTTTCAGGATGGAGAACTCGCTCGCGAAATACGGGCTCCAGCCTGTCACTTCGGCTGAGCAGTCCACCGTCGTGCCTCTGGCACAGGGTGGAGTGTCCTCGCGTCCCTTGGTGACCCCCAATACCTCGCAATCGCTCGGACGTCCATTCCTCGTGTATTTTCTGATGTCGTGCGTGTTTTTTTCCGCCAAATGATCAAGGATGGTCCTCGATGGCCGTCGCCGAGAAAAAATGCACACGTCCGAGCGATGCCAAGATACTGAATGCGGTGGTATCCTCGTGAGGGCCCCAGGCCCCCGATTCCTGGGCGCTCCTGGGCTATCCCGCGGGCTCTTGCGGGCGTGTCGCCTCCTCCCTCCTCCCTCCTCCCTCCTCCCTCCTCACTCCTCCCTCCTCCCTCCTCCCTCCCCCCTTCTCCCTCCTCCCTCCTCCCTCCTCCCTCCTCCCTCCTCCCTCCTCCCTCCTCAGAAGCGTTGAGCAGGAGTCCAGAACTCCCACATGAGCCAAGATGGCTCAGGTGGCTCCGCGGGCCTCGTCTTGGGGCCCTCTTGGAGATCCTTCGGGCCGTCTGGGCGGCCCTGAGGGTCCGCTCAATAGCACAAACATCGTATTGAGTCGCATGACTTCTGCGCTATGTGAACCACATCGTGTCTTCGGCCATGAGAGCGTCCAAGACGGCCAAAGAAGCTTCAAAGATCGCCCCTGGACAGTCCCCGATGTCCCCAAGAGAAGTTCCCGAGAGGAATGGTCAAGAATCCGACGTTGCGGACAAAAAATGCAACATCGCACAAATTCACGACGGGATCCCCGGAGCCCATCTTTCTGCGTCATTCTTCGATCTGGATCGATCTGTGAGGACCCCATGGGGGGGGGAGGAGGAGGAGGAGGAGGAGGAGGAGGAGGAGGAGGAGGAGGAGGAGGAGGAGGAGGAGGAGGAGGAGGAGGAGGAGAGGAGGGAGGAGGGAGGAGGAGGAGGAGGAGGAGGGGGAGGAGGGGGAGGAGGGGGAGGAGGAGCAGGAGCAGGAGCAGGAGGAGGAGGAGGAGCGAAGACGCCCGCTGTGAAAAAATGCACTGCCATCCCTTATCATTCCGTCGACTCGGCCCCGGAGCCTGTGAACGTGGCCCACAGAGGGCCGATCGGCGCATTGGCGCCGCCGTCGTGAAGCAAGCGAGCTCGAGCTGATGGAACGGGCCTCGACCTTTCTGAAGGGGCCCCAGGACACACAAATAAATAAATATAGATGAAAAGATTCCCCATATTTCTTCATATTTTCTGGGTTTTTGTCTTCCCCCCCACTTCCCATATGTTCCCATATTTTCTGGGGAATCGACAGTTAATTGTGTCTGTGTGTTTTTTCCCTCCTGACTTTCAAGAGGCGAGGAAACAACAGCAAAATGGTAGGGGAAGAGTCTGCTTACGGGCCCCCTCCCCGCCAAAAAATCCTCTCGAGGTCAGTCCTCCCGAGCCTTCCTGCCAGCCGCTGATCCTGCTCGGGGAAGAAAAAATCGGGAAAGAATATGGAAGTAGAAAATCCGAATCAAAAAATCGTCCACGAACGATTTGTTCGCTATTTGTGGATTTTCTTCCTGTAGAGTTGCGGATGCCACGACAATGGACACCCTAACAGTCCTATCATCGAATGAAACATGTGTCAAACATGTCGGGAAATGTCCAAGAAATGTTCCAAATATGTGTTTCACATGTTGAACACAAGTTTTAGACATCTGGAAA